TTTTTTTCATGCCATAGCATATATCTGGCGCATGAGTCAAACTCTGGAAACGACACAATCGAATTTTTTCAAAGTGTAACAACAAAAAAGAATTTTTTAAACTGTAACATCGGTAGTAGTAAGTGTAACAACATACCGATGTTACACTTTAAAAAAATCTTTTTTGTTGTTACAATTAGAAAAAATTCGATTGTGTTGTTTCATTTCAATAAATTTTTTATTTTTGTTTCACTTATATGTGTTGTGAATAGAAGTTGCGTTTTCATTCTCGGACATTCAATTGTCTAACGGTCTATTTATCTTCCGGTGACAATTTTTGTTCGTCTCGCTTTTCTTCTTTTCATGCTATCTGCCCATTCTTCGTCGGTAATGCGTCGGCCAATATTGATTGACTTCATGCGCATGTATTCTAGCACGATTTGGAATAGAAATTCTTCCTTATGTGTTAAGATACTGCTTATTTTACTGCCAGTATGAACATCGAATAAGGTTGATTCATATAGTCTTTCGACGTCCAAACAATTCCAGATGGTTTTACTGATAACCTTGTAGTCAATGTGTTCTTTGTCTTGAAGAATTTTGAAAACAGCTTCACAAATCACAATTATATTGCGTGTGCTGCAACAAGGCTGTGCCAACAGCTCACCTGTAGGGGGTAGACACGATTAGTAAATTAGACAATATTAGAAAATATTAGAAACTAAAATGTTTGATGACTTTTATATCCAAGAAGAGTGCTGTTTTTTGCTCATCTGTCAATCATAACGACCAAAAATCCTTTCGGCCCAGTTTGGGAAAGTACAGATAAACCTAAGCACTAGCAATCTGTGTCATTTTTCATAAGGCGTCTCCACTCGCATTGAGTTTGTATTGTGGATGTTAAGGTGCGTGCAACGCCCTTCAATGTAAAAAACAATACAAGTGGAGATGATACACGGGATTTATCTGTACTTTCAAAAATTTATCCTGTGCAAAAAATAGCACTTTTCTTGGATATTAATGAAACTAGGGATATATTTCCAAAAATAAGATTCCGTGTCTACCCGATTGGTTTTTTTTTTGATATAAAGTTATCAAAAATTTTGTCATTTTCAACAAATATCGACACACAATCCTGGCAAGCGGACACCGATTGCGCTTTAATTTTTCGTAATACATTTGCTTCAACTAATGATGACACATACGCGCACATGTGTTCCTCATATGGATCCATTTCTGCTGTTATCATCGTTTGATAATCTGTGTCTATCTCAATTTCTTTTACGCTGATGATTTCAATGTGTGATGGCATGTTCGGCGTTTGAGTGGAAGGAACCGTTAGTATCTCCGAAACTTCGAAGTAATTACAGTTGGTGTGTTTCGAAGACATGTGGGGCATACAAATCAATAATTTCCGATACGCGGCCATGAATTGCTGCGCATTTGGGTTCGAATTGGCTCCAAGGCTACTTCTTATCAATGAAAAATATGTCTCTAAATTGTCCTGACTAAATTGGAACGTGAAGAATTTATCAGGTGAGTCAGGCGTCGTCATGTAATCACTGTAAATACCAATGAGACTAATCATATTCTGCAAGAAGCCAAAGAAGCCTACAAACTTGCTTTTTATGCTTCTTTTCATCGATGTTCCATTTTTTTTCACTATTTCGACTGATAATTCATCCACAAATTTTCTGAACTCTTCGAATAATTCGAGAATAGCGGGCAAAGTTGATTGACAGATGGGTTGTTTGAATTGATTGTTCGTTCTTTTCCCTTCGCCATAGTTTAATACATCAAATATATTATTACTCAGTCGAATTAATTTAACGGTAGATTCACACTTTTCAAAACCTGCATATTTATCTTCACATAGCTGTTCCAATACATCAGCAACACCATTGCTCATAGTTTCAGCCGCATATCGAACAGTCATTGGTGATATTTTCCAGTTAATATGCCGACGTTGTGTCAGCTTATTCCCCAAACCAAAATTGTCAGCATCTTGTTTCGCTGCCAATAGATTCCAATTCAACAGTTCATCTTTGTGATACAGTTTGCGGGTTGAAAAATCTTTGCGAATAATCTTTAGCATATGAGGTGGATCGTGGATTATGTAGATTTTCCTGTCTGAATCATTTGGGCTGGGGAAATATGGTTTATCGGACTTAAAGTCCGCACCAAGCAATTCATAAGATGTGATGTTTGCCGGCAAACCATCTCCAGTCAATGAAGGGACAATAGCTCCAGTATTTTCAACTGCTCTTATCACTTCTTCACTCAAAGCAGCTCTGTCAACACCTTGAAGACCATTTAGCAGGAAATAAGCAACCGCTATTCGAAAATCAGGCCCTACGGCCATATACACCAAAGCATCTTTAGCTACTGAAAGTCTTTTTCCTTCATCACTTGCATTTGCTATTGTGCAGAATCCCTTAAACTTATTTTCATTCTCACTCCAGGATATATGCTGCTTAATTGAAATTTCATCATGAATCATGCATAAGTGTAGCTTTTTGTTTTGATCTCCACATTCTTGTACTTTAAGCTTTATTGCATCCAGTGCCATTTGAGTAATACCAGGGGATCCATCGATGCATCGTAACCATCTTTGTAGCGTTCGCTGTGCTGGTAAATTATTATTGAAGAAATGTCTGAGTTCATTAGTAGTAGATACTGTGTTATTTTCAACTCTTATATGTGTTAGTGCGC